GATGCCTTAAAAGGAGTAGATTATTTTCCATGTGAAAGAATATAACCAACAATATGGTGGCTGCGGTGTTTGATTTCATGGGTTGGGTCTTCCTAAAATTCACCTTGAATTGGGTGTAAGAGTAGGTTCCTTGACCTGTTGCCCTTTTATATCACTTTGGATTGGGTGTAGTGCTGGGCATTATGATACCCTAATGGATTTAAGAATTATGGGTATTCGTGGTTCGAGATTGATTGAGCATCTTTAGCCAGGTTTCTCCTCATGATTGGAGAGCTTAGGCTAATCTGGCAACACAGACTCAGTCCTATTTAATAGTCAACTCATAAATTCAGTCAATAATATATGAAGGAGATAAGGAGTTGATGATCATATATTTAATTGTATCATGGGACTTAATACTGTGGGTATATGATATTATACTTTATGCTTTGATGTGATGTTATATTGGTCTACTTTGCATGCCTTTATTAATTTAACTTAAAAGTGCGTGATTTAGAAACTTTCTTGTTTATTAAGTAATTATACTCGCCCTTAATTAACTTTTTACAAGCACTAGCTCTGGCAAGAAGAAGAAAAAAGGGACTAAGGCTTCGAAATCCAAGATTTCTACTGTATAACCTCCTTCTATGTTTATTTCATTATGTGTAATATAATGATGATGATTTCATTGCCAACTTAGGATATTCATTTTGTATTACCTGTACCACTACATATGGTTATTATCTGACTAGTTGTATTTAGTGCTCTAAGCTTGTTATATGAGTTGTAATTGTTTATTAAGGGCCTAAATACTGGTACAAATATATTATTGATTATTTTGTAAATTGCAATTGTTTCTTTTGGAAATTATTATATTAAATATCTGCCCCTCTATTTTTTGATGATTAAGGAATTGAGATTTAAAAATGTGAACTATGTGAGATATATTATTGTCATATTTTGTTGCTGGTTGCCCTAAGTCCTTTAGGCTCAATCTAGGTTGTGGTTTGTGTTTTTTGCACTTAGTTTGTATAGACACCTTGGTGGTTTAAATATAAAAATGGTATAATTATGACTGAGTATACCGTACTATGAATTGTTATATTTTAAAAGTGGAACATACCAATATCTATCTTGCTATATGAGTTTCTTTAGAATGGCTTAGACCCTCTATCTTGAATGTTGAATGTTGGTTTGAGGTGTAAAATCTCGCCCCACTAAATATAATTAACCATTAAAACTCATGGTAATCAAAACATTAACTCAAAGAGTGATTATCAAGGTGTAATTCAAAAGCAAGGGATCCCAAGTTTTTTATAATCACAAAGAGTTTCAAATGATCAAAATTCTCTTGTATCAAAGTAAAAATAAGTTATGGAAGCATGAGATACCTTGAAAGAGTGAAAGAAATTGAAAATAAGTGAAAAACAACTCTTTTAATATGTGATAGAGTAATGCACCGTAGCTTGTGCACACTGCGCCACAACTTGTTACTCTTCGTGCCATGTGCTGTGGCTCAGGCACCATGCGTTGCGGCGTGTTGCACGAAAATTTAGTTGATTTTGCTGTCATTTGATAGCAGAATCGAGACACTTTCCACGTGCTCAGATTCTTCGTCCAACATCTAATTGACGTGATCTAGGTATCTACAGCAAACTCTTAACATGAACTAACTAGTAGTATGGGTTTCACTTTCAAAACAAGTTATACCAAAAAGTTGGATGCCTAAATACATTTTGATTACTTTTCATAACTTTCACATAAAAAAGGTGTCCAAAACCCTTAACAAGTGCCAAAAGTCTTTCTTAACACCTGTACTATATCCATTGGACTCAAGACTATCAGTACAACGTCACACATACTTAAACCCCAGTATAACCAAAATTCACTCCTTAATCTCTTTTTACCAAGAAAACAAAGAGGGAGGCAATTTATCACTGCATTGTATCCAAATCAATTAAAATATGTTCAAATCATCATTTTTATACTTGCACTAATATTTTTTACCATATATATATATATATATATATATCTCAACATATACTTAGACCCAAAATACAAATCAGATATTTGCGATAACAAAATAGTGCAAGTGAGATGGCATGCAATCTAAAATTGGCAAACATATATTATTACACAAAATAACTAAGCTAAAGGCATACAAAAAGGAATATGCTAATTCCTAACCTCTTGAACCTTCTCTCTCTCTACACTAAAACTAGAGCTTGAAAAGTGTTAAATAAAATGAGTAAGTCTAGCCACTTAGTAACAAAGATAAAATCTACCTATATAGTTATATATCAATTATAAAACAACCACATGCATATAAAATTAAGTACACAAAACACGTTTACACACATTATAACTCATCATTGCTCATTCTATAACATTTTTGTCTCACATATACTAGGCACATTGTCACCATATTCTCAGATATATGACCATGACCTCTTATTCATGTGACTTGCCACAACTCAACACGTATGACACGTCATATATTTATTTAGACAATGATGAACCAACCTTACACCCTCCTTGTTTTCTTAGACCAAAATCATGGATTATAACATTGAATAGGGCTCTGTCCGTGTGATTGGACTACCCAAGCTCATCGATCGTGAGATGTGACCTAGCCAAAGATTACATAACTCACTCTCGGACCACGGCTTCTTCCATTTTTGGATCTCTAGGGTATCTCATACTCTAGGCTATTCTCCTTACTAAATCGATAGAGATAGCTAGGTTCTAGTTCCTTGACAAACTGTAGGATAATCCCTAATAAACTATGGGATAAGACTATACCCCCGTGCACTGGAGAGTTGCCTAAATATCATATGAATTTTTCTCTACTCTTAATCCCTAGGCGAACTCCTGTCCATTGATCATGCCATAGACAATACTCATTCTTTTTACCTTTTCCTTTGCTCATTATCAAAATCAACACATTGGACTCACGAACAAGCGCTACCCAAGTGCACATCGATTTCTTGTCTTTCACTTATATCACTCACACCTATTTTTCAATCACAATTGCTCATCTTTATCAAATCAATCACTCACTACTCATTTACAACACATCATCACATTCATTTTCCTAAAGACATATGCATGTTCATATTCAAAAATATCTTCATTTAACATTTGCATTTTAAACCACAATAACATTATGCACATTCAATTTTCATACACTCATTGAAACTAATATATGCTTTTCACATTGAAAATCAATTCATACATGCCACGTTCACAATTAGAAATTAATTTTCAATCAATTAATATATAACTACCCAAAGTAGAGTTTCTCCTAGTTACCTCAAACTTTTGAGAAGTCAAAAGTTTACCTCTCAGTACTAAAGCTTCCAAGCTTGAATTCCCACACCAAATAGGTGACCAAGAGCCAAAACTACAATCAATCAAGTTGAATTTCATCAACATTACCAACTCAAGTATTAAACCCTCAATCTCCACTTCTAAATTACCCAACATTTACTCCATAAGAATTTGAGCCCATCCCTTGAGTTTATTAATTATTTTTAGTCCCCAATAATATTAATGAACTATTAAATTTTCATTAATGGCATCACAATCTTCCAACCACCCATAATAAATGAAATTTTTGAATATTAATAATGCTCAACAACTTAAGACATCAAAAATTCATTATACTAGGTTTAGATATTCTAATCTACTCCTATTAACTCCATTTGAGTCAATAAATTTAACCCATAACCCATATAAATTGAAAATCCACTTCCATTATTAAACCCTAACTATAAACTCATAAATGTGGAAGAAATGGGGAGATTAATGAGTGTGATACTTGCCTTGGGTGTTTATAGCCTTTAAAATACTTCCAATATCGTCCACAAGTAAACCCTAGTAAAGCTTAGTACGTCTCTTCCATTCTCTCTTTTCTTTCTATCTATTTTTCGCATCAGTTTGCATATTATTTTTGCAGAATTTACACCGTGCGCCACGATACTTGTCCTCATATGCCGTGGCATATGGTACAGAGAAGACAACTCTCACTTGATGGCCCTGGCGCCACAACGCATTACGCATGCATTACGGCATGTGACACAGAGACTTTTTAGCTTGTTTTTCTTCATTTTTTGATCCTCAAATGACCCAATTTCACTTTGGACCTAAATTATACTTGAAATTCCAACTAAAAACATTTATTATTCTCCTCTGACCATACATCACATCAACTTATTTAATTATCCTTATTAACCTTAGTAAAATAGGGAATAAAAAACCAAAATGTTACATGAGGTGTGATGGATGTTTACTCCCAGGGGTTGTTTAAGTGACAATGCCATATTGTCTCAATTCTTATGTAATGTGCTACTGTGTGAGGTGCCTGTACCATAGCACACAACACAGAGGAGGTCATGGCATATTAGGATATGTGTAAGCTGTAATAAACACTCCTATAATTGTAAAATGTTATTTTTATCCTTCTTTTAAACTAAGTTTTCAAACATATTGATATCCCATGCTTCAAAGGGCTTACTACTCTGATTCATGCTCTATATAGGTTTGTTATGCTTTGGTTTAAATTTGACAACTTTGGATCCCAAAAATTTATGTATTTACACCATTTTATTTCAAATTTTATGTTTAGTCCAAATAACCATAATAGACCTAGAATATCAGTATTTTCTTTTTTTTACTATGGTTAATTTTATCTAATTATAATTGTTTTTTTTTATCATGGCAAGGTGACTAAGAAGATTAATTCTTAATTATCATAATAATCAATGACTTTATGGTTAAGTCTATTAGTAAATTTAGCAACTTTATGAAACCAATTTATTAAGTTTTACTATTTTAAAGACAAGTCATAATTAGAATGGTTTAAAGAGTAAGTAGTTTGAAAACATATTAAATTTTATAAAAATGTTATAAATTTTAAAGTCAAGGGACATACATCATATAACCTCCGAAACAAAATGATTCTTTCTATTTTGGCTAAATATATGAGCAAAAGCGGTAATTTGGCTAAATTTTGTAGTGAAGCAGAAGCGATTTCTTCGAACCGCTTTGCAGATTCACACGTCCATTCATTTCGTTAATCTGCAGCCTTTACTATCGATAGACTTGTAAGAGTAGTCACAGACTCGTAAACCCCATGCTAATCATCCCTTCTCTGAATCAAACAAAGCAAAGTTGCATTCTTGATTTTCTATCATATTGTTCTTGATCTAGTATCTGAACTGAGGTTTGGGTTCCGCGAAAGCAAAAATCGAAGATGCAGAAAATGGCGCAGGGATGGTTCTCACAAGCCACTGACGGTGACAACAGCCAGAAACCCTCGTCTTCTCTGCTGGCCGATTGGAATTCGTACGCATCATCGCAATCTATGGAGGAAAACTCTGATTCCGCTTTTGGTTTTGACATCGAAGCTGCCGTAAGGTCTGCCAACGACACAGTGACGGGTACCTTCAACGTGTAAGCCATCCTTGCTACTCCTTACTCGTATCTCTTTAGATTTAGCTCAGTCTGGTTATGATATCTTGTTGGTTATTATGCTTTCTGGAGTTGGCTATGTGATGGGTTCTTGAATTTCGCTGATCTGCGACTGCCTTTGGATAATATGCATGATTATTAAGATTGCAGCTCAATAAGAATGCGTAATTGACCGATTTTTTTGGTATGATCTGCTGATTTTTAAGTGGTGCAGGCAGTAAAGAGATCGTAGGGATCAGTGGTAATTTATGCAATTAATTGGATTTGAAATAATTATTAGAGCTTGTTTAGTTTTTTCTTATCCTTCCGATGGATATTCTTAGCGCTCATTCTTATTTGCAGAGAACAAAACTTGTTCCTTAACTCTATTGGATTTTGATAGGTAGTACAATGGGAGTATTAGAAAAAGAAGATCTGAAATTTTTGTGATAGAAAGATATTCATGAAGCTAGAAGTTAAACTTTTATTTTCTTCACATATATGTTAATATAATTTGGGATGTCAAGAGAAGTTATCTAAATTTGAGCTTAGGAAGTATGAAAACATTGAGATGCATGTGTTGTAAGTAGTGGCAGAGGCTGAATTGGCTTCATATTTTCAAATTCTTATATTTCCTCTTCATGCGGTGAATTAAGCTCTAGGAACTCTATTTGAATCCTTGCCTCCCCAAGTCCCCAACCACTTGAGCTGACCCTTGATGACCAATCTTTACACCCTGTTATCAAGATGCTTCATATTAGCTGTGAAGATAGTGCATGGGTCTTTTGATCCTTAACCATTCCCCTTGTCGTGTTCTATATTTATTGGCAAGGAGTAACTTAGGCTCATTGGTTGGAATTTGGATCAGTTAGACCGGCTTAATCTCCTTAGTTATTATGTAGAAAAACCAATATGAAAGCTACATGGCAGCCTTGTGCTCAAATATTTTGTATTTTCAATTTCTATTGAAGTCCTTATTTCTAGTCAATGTATAAATTTTACTTGTGGGAAGTGTTTATCGTATGATTGGAAAACCATTCCATGAGCTGTTTGACATATGAAGCTGATTTATGTTTATTTCAAAGATGAATCAATTTGTGATGGGTACAAGAATGTGCCAAAGTATTAAAATCTTGACACTTGATGTGTTGAAGAATGAATTTGTTAGAAACAAAGTGACATGCATATTAGGTTCAGAAAATAAAGTGATATGTGCATAAAAACCATTCGATATGCTGTCTGTGAGTTATGTAGCCGATTTATGGCTATTCCAACATGGATCTATTTGTGACACGAATGACGGTATAGAGTGGAAAAATGTTGACATATTGATGAATGGTATTATTAGAAACAGAGATTTTAGGTTCTGAAATTAGAGAAGGGTCTCCCTTATATAACTAGTAATCATAAGAGCTTTGGGTGGGGCCCTATTTCTTTTTGTAATGATTTAAATTTCAAATTGATCATGGCTACGATATGTGAATATCCCTTGAGATGTTTTGCTGTCAGAATACTGGCCAGGCTGTTGATGAGTCAATCATTTAAATTGGAATGTTCTCTTTTTATTTCTTTCTCTCTTTGGGCTCCTATCACAACATTACTTTAAGAGCATAATTCGTTGTTGATGAGTTCCAGACTACATATTATTATTGTTTTAAGATGTAAGAGTGCAAACATGTTAGCATGATGGATTTAAATTTCCATACCAATTGTAGATGGAAATACTGTCTGTTCTTGTCAGCCTAATCAGAGAATGAATTGCCTTAATAGTTCTAAACGAACATGCTGGGTGGAAACTGCTTATAATAATCATAATAAATTGTTTTGCCTGAAATAATTGTTTTCAAGTAGTTATGGAATTTCTTATATGATTGTGTAGGGTTTCTAAGGGTGTGAGAGATATACCTGGCAACTTCCAGTCTGCCACTAGTAATGTACCTTCGGGGAAAGCTCTCCTTTATTTTGGTTTGCTTCTAGCGACTGGGGTTTTCTTTCTTTTCATTGCATTTACCTTGTTCCTTCCTGTTATGGTGGTTATGCCTCAAAAGTTTGCCATATGCTTTACTCTTGGGTGTGGATTTATTATCGGATCATTCGTTGTTCTCAAAGGTCCAAGGAATCAGTTTGCCCACATGACATCAAAGGAGGTACGTTGTTTGAATGTTATTTCTTATCTTATACATATTGCATGTTGATAATAGATCTCTCGACCAGTTATGACATGGTTCGTTCATTGTGTTTTTGGGTCTTCTAGAAGAAGTCTCATTGATTTGATTGCATCCACTGGATGCTTTATTTTTACACGATCTCTCATTTTGTCTACATTTCAGAGGCTCCCTTTCACATTGGGTTTTATAGGCAGTATGGTTGGTACCATATATGTGTCAATGGTGCTTCACAGCTACATTCTCTCTGTGTTATTCTCTGTCATACAGGTATTCGTTTCATGCATACTTAATGTGCTTATTCTTATATTTTTTGCTTTGACTGTGCCTTGTGTTTTTCATATGAAGCACGGACACTTTGAGTAAGGAACTACTTTTGCATGACACATTGGACATTTGGTATTTGTGTTGATACTCCAAAACCTCAATGCAATGCTTTTAAGATTGAATATGTTGGACTTCAAGAATGAATATATTGGAATGTGATGTTGGGGCATTTGTTTGATGCTTTCTAATGATGTTATAACCATACTAGCCATATTTTAGGTGTGAAATATTTGTTGTCTCAGACACGTGTACATATGTATGTTTGTGTAGGTCCTTCTTGTGTCCTTTATTATATTTTAGATTTTAGACTTAGCCAGGCGCTTGTTCCCTTTTTCTGTCTGTTTCAACACCCATAGTTCTGAACCGGAACTTCTGGTCACATTTACTGTTAATGTAAAATGTGCAAAGCTTTAAAGCCAACCACCTGGAACTAATTTAGGTGGTAAAGCAACCCTTCTGGTGTAAATAAAAAGTTAAAAAAAAAAAGTAGTATAAATCCTTTTACTCTAGTTTTATTTTATGTTCATCAATGTGACCGTCGCTTTTATCAAGTAGAGTGAATGATATGAATTTAAGAATGTTGTATCTGCCTGCTTGGTAGTCAGAAATATATTATGGTTATGATATTGACAGTCTCATGAAGTGGTTCAGGTCACTGGGGAGTGGAAATATATCCTCATAGGTTGATGCAGATTTATGCATTTATTTATATATTATTATTTCCTCTAAAACCATCCAATCTTATATTGAAATTGATTAATGATAGGTTCTGGCACTTGGGTACTATGCAATATCGTATTTCCCTGGCGGATCTGCTGGCATGAAATTTTTGACATCTGCTCTTACATCTTCAATACTGAAATGTTTTGGGAGGTGACGCATTTTAGTTTATGAGAGGGGAGGTATGCTCTTTAGTCCATGTGGTAGTAGCTGACCTGTAAATTTGTCTCTCAAGATATGTCATGTGTTCAACTTTTGAACTGTTATGAAAATATAGCTGATTTGAAGCATCATCTAATGATTTTCAGAGATTTCAATGTTTGTTGTAGTTTATTGAAGAAAAGAAAACTCACTGACGTTTCAGCCACAAGCTTTTAATTGCAAAGAATATTGCCTGACCAATGGTTTGACCCACTATTCTGCATTACTGTGTTTTTCTCCTCTCTACATACCATCACTTTTAAGGTTAAGGTGCAGAAATATTCAGAAATTTTTTTTCTCCGAGGGCTATTAATATATTTAAGGCAACAATGGTGTATTCATTAACTTTATAAAAGAGATCAACCTTCTCCAATTCATTACAATTACTTGATTTTGACAGTTAAGTTCTAAGAATAAAAATTTTTGACCATCATGTTATTTTAACGAATTGGGAGAGGTTAATTTACATATATGTGTGTGTAAAGTTAATAGATATCTATGCACCATTCTTAATTTAAGAGTACGAGTTCCTGAAAAAAAAAATTTCTTAAAGCATTTGTGCACCTTAACCCTTACTTCTAATGAGATATTATTTGACCCACTTTCTTTGATTTCTTGTTTGCTGGTGGACATTATCTCCTGTTGCTAACCGAAACAAACCAAATTGCGGGCTAGACGAAAGGTTTATTTGTGTAGGTTCGGTCATTTTAATTTTAGACTGTAGTTATCTATAGGCCTTGTATATATATATAATCGTCAAAAAAATTGTACTATTTATAGGCTGTAAGCAATATAGCTAATTTCAAACCCCATAAAAAGCACGGTTTAGTTCAAATTGAAACAATCAAATCAGTTTTGTGAGGGGAGGATTTCTTAAATTTTTATTTTCAGTTGGTCTGGCTGTGTTACATGCGTGCGTGTGTGTGTGTGTGTGTGTGTGTGTGTGTGGTTGGGGTTTTATACGATTGTAAGGGTGTTGGGAATATCAATATTAATAACATGGCTAAAAGCATCTGAGGGAATACTTATTAAAACTTATTTTCGGCCCAAATCATTATAGCTTCCAAAATAATTTTAAGTTACATCTAATGCAGTTCAATTATCAAAAGCAACACGAATGTTTAAACAAGGACCGTAAAGTTCTCTTACGTCATGAACGATTTGTAGTAAAAATTTATGTATCTTTTAAAGATATTGATGAAAATTGAAGACATCCGATTATTGAAATTGAATTATTAAAATGCCATAATTCTAATTATTGAAGTAATAATAATAGAAAGTCATTTATGAATTTAAAAAAGGTTAATTGTGAATTTAAAAAAGATTACTTGTGAATTTATGCAAAACTATTTGTGAATGGATTAATAGTTTTGTGAATATATATATTTATAATTGTCAAACTCTCACGTTAACTCTTTGAATTTAATATTTTTATGTTTTTATTTTATAAAATTGTATCAATTTATTCATAAACTTGAATTAAATACAAATTTAATTAAACTTGTTAATTTACCTTCAAGTTTATTATTTTTATGTTTCTAACTTATAAAATCATGTTAATTAATTATTAAATTTGGATTAAATGTAAATTTAGTTAAACTTGTTAGATTGTCAATTTCTTTTTTGAGTTAAGTATATATTATGAAAAATTCAATTTATAAAAGTTATAGGACCTGATTTAAAGAAAGAAAAAATTAAACTGCAAAAACTAATATTAATAAAAAAAATATAAAAGATAAATTCTCCTATTTTAAAATTTTTATGTTTTGTATATAATAATTTATCAATATAGATGAGTTTAATTTTAATGATTTATATTTTTAATATATTTAAATTAAATTATGGTCATATTTTATTGGCTATTTATTAATAGGGTAAATTCTTATGAGTTTACTATTCAAATTTGTAATATAAATTTATATTTTTATTATAAGTTTATTTAAACTCACGAATTTAACAATCTTATATACATCATCACATGTGAATTTTAAAAAAGTTACTTGTCAATTTATGGCTGGTCAATTGTAAATGGATATGCAGAAATATGAGAGCATCCTTGTATAATTGATTTACAAATAAGATTATTCATATTCATTCATGACTAACATTATGTCTATTTTTACAAATGACATTCCTTAAATTTATAACTATTCCTAAATTACAAGTGGTAATGTATAAGAACTTATTTGGTTTCTATTCTCATTTTTTGTTTTTAAAAACTATTTTTGTGATATAATTTATAAAAAAAATTCAAAATGAAACCAAAAAAAAATCCGTATGGTTGTATTAATTTAAAAATAATTTTAGAACTAAAAAATCAATATTAATGATCACCAGCAATTAATGGTAATAGCTTATGATAAATATTGAACAAGATAACTGTAACTTTTAACAATTAAATCTAATGTTTCTATTAAAAACAAAAAAAAATGAAAATAACTTTTAAATTTTTATTTTTTAAAAAAATAAAAATATTTTTGAAAGCAATTATATTTAAAATATTCGTCTAAGCAATTTTTTTAATTTTGTGTGTTTAAAAACAAAAAAAATATTGTTAAAAATAAAAACCAAACAAGCCCTAAATCTACAAAGTTATCTATTTATTTATAATTAAATTTTTATAAATTCACCCATCACTTTTCTTAAATTTAAGTGATAATACATAAATTCATAAATTTATCTATCCATACAATTGGCTTTTTATTGATTTGTAAGTAACATTCATTACATTTACCATTAAATTTACTTAAATTCATGAATCACATTCTATTAATTATTTTAATAATTATTTAACTGCAAATAAAAACAATAGCATTTGCATAACATTGTAATAATTTGAGAGTTTGATTAATGCCTTTTGGCTCCCAAAAAAAAAAAAAAGTGTGATTATTGCCTTCACAAGTTTTGTAGCTGTCAGTTTCCCTAGAAATTATAAGTAACGTTGTCAATGTCATAGAATGTTTCAAGAGACATATTAATATTGATATTTAAATTTAAATATAAGATATTTCAATTCAATCACAAAGAAGCATGCTCAGGCCTCGAGTGAGAATACAAGAACAGATAAAAAGTCGCACAGACTCGCCTCAGAGATCTTGAAAACCTCTATAAATTATGTGAGCTCAAACTCCCAGCATAATTAGCAATTACTGTACAAAAAATACAAGTATAAATATCAAGGGAAAAAAATTGATTGTCCCATTTTAAACCTGAAATTCTCAAGATGAAAGGAATTTTCCACGAGGGGTTGATCTGCTTCTTCCAAATTCAGGCATGGATGTATTGCTTCCTTCCTTGAGATTTCTGCCAGAACCATTTACCAGTTTGTTCTCAACCTTGCTAGCCAATAAAGGTTCCCCTGCTTGGAGTGTTCCTCTGCATATAATATACATGCCCAATTATCAATATCTTACAAGTCTAATGGTCTATAAATGTCAAGTTTCTAGGAAAGTTTTTTTCTCCTTTCTTTTAAGAAAAAGTCACATTCTCAAGAATTCACAATAGCCTTTTTTCGACAACTCGACAAGTTTGGATCTTCTACAGATTGCAAGGGTGCTGTAATGTAGTAAGAAAGAGATTTACACCAAAAATGAGGTGTATGAGGTATTAGAATGTATTAAAGAGTTCCACATTAATTAAAGAATGAATTGGAGGTATATAACCTTGAGGTAAGTTCTACCAAGTTGGTTTAAGCTATTTTAATGGAAAGACAAACCTAATATATATATATATATATATATATCTAATTCCGCAAAGTTTAATATGGCATTAGAGCCATTTGCTGTGGGACACAAAAGAAACAGAGAGTAGGACAAACAAAGAAGAGAAAAAAGGAGATAGCACAAAAAAATGAAGATTGTGGATCTAAGGCCTCTGAGACTCAAAAGAAATACAAGCCCAGACAAAGAAAATGCAGTAGAAGGAATATTACATATTGAAAAGTCCCATTTTGATTAACTATAGAATGAATAGAAGGTTAGTTAAGTCTTACCAAGATTTGATAGAAAGACAAGCCTAATATATACGTAATTCCTAAAGTTTAATATGGAGCTCATTTTATTAAATTACACACGTCCCAATTTTTTCTCTCTCTTCCTCGCAGGACTATGCGCTGTAAGATAACTTACTGCAGAGGACTTGGAGTTGCAGGGGACAAACATGTAATAAATATGTTAATTTTAGGAAAAAGTGAACTCATTAGTTTAAGAAAGCTCTAGTTAACATTAGGCTAATAATTCAAAAGCCATATTGTTAATTGAAATCTGTCGGGCATACCTGGGTTTAAGGTTCTGAGAATTTCTTGGGAAATTTTGACGTATCTTCTTAAGGTTTAGTGCAGCATGGACTGGGGAATCAATTAAGCCAAGATCATTTTCCGGCTCGGAGTAATCACTCTTTCTAGGTGCCTCCAATGCCTTTTCATCAGCAAGGTCCATGTCAGGGATCGGCACAGGTATCAGATCAGATTTTTGAATCCTAAAAGGAAGTTGCTGGGGATGCTGATGCTTGGCCTTGGCCTTCCCCTCAGCTTTGCTCTTTCTTATACCTCCTTGTCTTACTGCAGTTAGTGCTTGTTTAAATTGTTCCTCTTCTTGTTCATGATGAACTTTCCTGGAGCTGACCTTCTGGAGGTTGAAGAGAGCTTCAGAAATGTTATCTTGTTTCACCAGCTCATGAAAACTCATATTCACCCTCGAGTTAATGTCAGTGCTTGTGGCCATAGGCAATGGGGAAATAGATTTGTTTACCGGTACTCGAGCTGGAAATGGATGTTTCAATATTGGCTGGTTATCTGCTGTGTCAGTTCTGACCTTGCTTTTAATGACAGAGCCTCTATCTGTGGATATTGATCTCCTGATAGGAGGAGATGGTGATCTTCCTTTCCCTGAGTTTGCTATTTTTTCTTCAGGCAGATGAGGCATTCTTGGAATGGACTCTTTGTCCATGAATGATGAGGGATATCTTGACCTTCTTTGCTTTCCTGAAGAACAACTTCTAGCCTGAAAATGAAGTTTCAGATTGAATTATATGAGAGAATGCAAAGGAGAATTAATCAAAGCACAGTTTACAAGTAACTTGTTAAACCAAGTTTATGGTAAAAGTGTTATAATATTGCATTTAAGTACTTCAGAAATTTTATCATCAGTCAGTCGCTGGCAAGATTCCGACTTCACACTGGCATTGACTCCGATTTTGGGAAGGCGAAAAGGGGAAACTGCCCTTGGTTTCTGAGATTCTACAATGTTTCGAGCATTCCCAGCTCTCCATTGCTCCAGTTCAGCCTCCTTCCTCTCCAATGCCAACTTGAGGTTCGATATCTAGTTAAAAACAGAAAACCCAGTTCTCAACAATTCTAACAAGCGTTGAATCTAAAATTGCATCACAAGTGACTAGCAAACGAACCACTTCTTTGAGCTCTTTAATTTCACCAGTTTCCTTATGAGACTGGGCAGCGCCAAGTTCAATGGATGCCACCCTCTCAGCAAACTTGAGCGTGCTAATTGTCTCCCCAAGAGCATTTTGTTCAGGATTTATATGAACAAACATCAAAGTTTTGGCATGCCCACCTATTGAAATGAAATTTGATAAAAACAACAGAAATAGAGCAAAGACTAAGATAATTTTATGGAAATTCAATGAAACAAGTTATTACCAAAGACAAAAGAAATGCAATTATATCTTCATTTTAAACTACAAATCATTCATTGGCCAGATTTTCCCCCAAAAAATATGATGCAATGATGAAATCTATTGCATAATTTGACTTTTGAAATTGAAATTTGAAATCACTCCCATTCTAAATGCCCTTATCACCTATTGTCATGAGCAATTTGCACTGAAGTAAAAGAGAGAGGATGAGGGATGGGATCCTCCATGAGAAGCCTACATCTATTACCTAAAGAATCTTGTAGTACTTGTGTGAGCTTGCTATTCCTGTAAGGAATATGTGGACTTTTTTGTGCCAAGGCAGATATAACATCTCCCAGTGCAGATAGAGATCGATTTATATGTTGCGCTTCCTTCAGTCTTTCTCCAACAGCCTCAGATTTGTCAACCCTTTCGCTTCCAGCCAAATCAACGAGATGGAGACAACCTTTAAGAATGGAGTTGGAAACTAGCTCTCTTCCTCGAACATGAATTGTCAAAATGCTGCAACAGGGTGGCCAAATTGTCTCATTATATAGCTATAGAACAAATGGAGAGGCCAACTAAGTCAATGAAGAGGAAGTTTACCAATGAGAACGGCTGCTTCGCTCATTTAGAGCGGTAGCACCCACTGCACGATTCTTCTGACCAATCCTCATCAAATCAAGAACATCTTCAGTACAATTAACTGGAACTAAACATGCATCAGGCACATTAAGGCCATTCAATTGAGAGTTGTTTCGTATATCTAATGTAAACCTTGTTAAGGAAATGAAACAACTAACAAATAAATGCTACAACCAACCTCTGTACAAAAATTAAGAGTTTCACACAGAAGCAAGGAAATATGATGATGTTATAGGAAAAAGCAAGTAGTAAAAGGATATCTTCTATTAGAGCCATCACTAACTAATAAATCTCTCACTTGTTCATTGTATATTTCAATCATCTGTACGCCAACATCATATTTTATAGCATTCAACCTTTCCTTTGATATCTGGAATAAGTCACGCAACGCTCTATAATTTACTCCCCATGTCTCTTCCGTCGTTAAATCTGGGCCACTCTATAAAAGCATAAAATCACGTTAATACCACACATAATAAATGATGAAATAATAATGAATGTCCAACTCGAAAAAAATTCTGTAACCTTCAATGATGCCATCCTTTTGGCGTGGGTTTCAAGTTTGATCAAATGGATAACTATTTCTCTTAAGGTCGATGAAGAGCATAATATTTAATTAACAATTGTTCATGGGTTGTAAAGTTTCAGAGGAATATTCATTTGTGAGTGTTTGATATTGTTTCCAACATGTACTCTTTTTAGTAGGAAATGGCTCAAAACCGAGATACGAGCTACATAATAGTTTGAATAGTTACTTACAAGTTACCATAAATAAATTAACTAAAAAGAAAAACGTATTTTTACAAATAATACAAGGATGAACCCTACAAAAAATTTATTATTGAAAAAAATACATATTCAGATTCTTTCATCTCATGCTATAATGATTAACAAGTACTTAAGAATAACACGCTACACAAAATACCAAATAAATTAAATCTACAAGGTAACATAGTGTAAGTTCTAATATTCCACAACTACTATGCATGTGCAATGTGAAATTACCATTGTGTAGGTCTTCCCAGAGCCAGTTTGTCCATATGCAAAGATGCATACATTATAACCATCTAAAACAGACCTGACCAGTGGTTGCGTGTCAGCATATATTTGTTCTGCACATGATAATGAAATCATCATTAATTACTTTGAATATGAACTAAAAGGATATTAACTCTTAAAAACAAAATAGTATTATTTATATATTTCTATAGATCGATCACATTTGTTTTATTACACAGCACGATAACACGATGCAACAATTGGAATATAAAAGCAAAACATACAAATTAATTTTTTTCTCTCTCATTGCCACTAGAAAAATAAAAGAGGAAAAAGATAATTAAATCATTACACAGAGCAGACTAAGAGCTATTTAAACATACTAATACAAAACAGAGCATAAGGTAATACTAAAGCAATTGCAATTAATCAATAACATGTAAAAAAATTATACCTTGTGTGACATTTGTTGCAAAGACCTTATTGAATTGAAACACTCTTCTTGCATCTTTGCCCTGCTTAAGGGGGTTAACAATCATGATATTTCCACCTTCTCCTATATAATCTACTGTTGACTTTACATTTGATTGTCCTGGTAAGAAGGGTCTCACTCTACAGTAGACCCTAATAGTTCCTATAGGACAACAAAGTTATCAGTATCCACCGTAACATTAGATTCACCGACAAGAAATATTTTAAATTCTTGTGCACCTTTCAGGTCTTGTACTTGATTGTAGAGTTGACGATTCTCCTCTAAGACTTTGTGGTAGGAAGAGGCTGCCACTTCTAGGCTCTTAATATGATGATCTAAGTAGGACACCAAACTTAACTCAGTATTGTGGGAAGAAAAATCAAATTAAAGGATGGGACAAATGTGGAAAATGTTTCTCATGAAAACCATTTCTTAGTTTCTCACCAAGCCTGCCCAATTCTTGCTCCCACTCTGATTGAATTTGTTTGACCTCCATCTTTGTCTCTTCAAAAAGGTATTTCATCCCCTGAAGCATGAGAAAGGCCCTTTTAGCGTGGGTGCTAGTGTAAACTTACAAGTCATATAATCAAAGCAACAAGAACAATGCATTCTATTTGTTAATTACATACCTCAAGTTGTTTCTGTTGCTCATTAACTATTTCAGCATGGTTAAAAGAATAATTACTCTCCTTCCGAGTGCGGTCAAGTTTTCCTCCACAAATGCAGAATTTTGAAAAATCTTTGGACGCCAAACTACTTCTTTGGTTGAGATATAATGAGATAGCTTCTATGAACTCTGTTTTTGATAGGCAACCAATATCACCTTTCAATATTTTCTTCAAGAAAAAACCAAGCTGCAATATCGCAATATAAAAAAGACATGAATGATTAAATGGCATTGGAAGGTTAGAAACAAAGGACAATGATATTCTATAAAAGTAGTATTGACAAAATTATTCAAACTTTAAATCACCTGATTGCGTTGAGAAACAAGCAACGATGAGAAATCTTTGACTACCTTGGCGAGCAATGCATCAATTACCTATAAAGTGTACATCTATTAACAATGATATTGAATAAAGCAAATTAGAAGAATAGCAAAAGTTCATTTTTGTAAAGGAAATAAGAAATTAAACCTTCATAATAATTTCATTTGTCATTCTCAGCAAATATTCAACTCCGCCTATGTTTATAGCTGGTCCCAAGCCCGGGTAAAGGAGGAGGGTTGTGTTAGGCCATCAACAGCCAATGTAAAAATTTGTTGAATCTATCATGAATATGGACAATAGACGTTATAATGTTAATGCTAGGTCGTTGCCCGTAAGTAACGCGCTGCATGGCTCGAGTAGTAACACCAAGGATTAGGTGGTGGCAATTAAAAGGTGAGAAGCAAGATATTTTCAAGCGAAATCTTTTGGATAAAGGAATTTGGGATTCTCAGGGAAGTGCTAACATCATATGGGAGGATATGGCTAAAAAGATACGGGAGGTTGCAAAAGTAGTTTTGGGAGAATCGAAAGGTCCTGGTCCGAGAGATAAGGAGTCTTGGTGGTGGAATAATAGTGTACAGGACAAAATCAAGTATAAGAAGAACTGTTTTAAAGCCATACATTTGTGTAACAATGAGGAAAATTGGGAGAGGTACCGTATGGCTAAGAAGGAAACTAAGAGAGCTGTGGGTGAAGCTCGTTCTAAAGCTTTTGAAGAATTTTATAAGAACCTTGAGACGAAGGAAGGAGAGCAAAATATTTATAAGATTGCCAAGAGTAGGGAAAGAAAATCAAGAGATCTAGAACAGGTAAGGTGTATTAAGGATGAAGAGGGAAGAATTTTAGTTACAGATGATGAAATTAAAAATAGATGGGAGACTTATTTTTCTAAACTTTTCAATGATGGAGAGGATTCATCTAGTAACTTGGAGGATTTAGTAACTGGTGAAGGAGAACAAAATTTGTCATTCTATCGAAAAATACGTGATAAGAAGGTAAAGGAAGCTCTTAAGAAAATGGCAAATGGTAGAGCTAACGGACCTGATTGTATATCTATCGAAGCGTGGAAATGTTTAGGTGAAGAAGGGGTGAGATGGTTAACTAAGTTATTTAATGTGATTTTACGGTCCAAGAAAATGCCTGATGAGTGGAGGAGAAGTACATTAATTCCTATTTATAAAAATAAAGGAGATATTCAGAATTGTACTAACTATAGAGGGATTAAACTCATGAGCCACACAATGAAATTGTGGGAGAAAGTAATTGAGCACAGGTTGAGATTGGAGACAAGTATTTCTGAGAATCAATTTGGTTTTATGCCAGGTAGATCAACCACAGAGGCGATTTATCTACTAAGGGGATTAATGGAAAAGTATCGTTGTAAAAATAAAGATCTACACATGGTTTTTATTGATTTGGAAAAAGCTTATGACCGTATACCAAGAGAAGTGCTTTGGAAAGCGTTGGAAAAAAAGGGAGTACGGATTGCTTATATTAAAGCCATACATGATATGTATGAGGGGGTAAAAACTAGTATAAGAACGCCTAGTGGTCAAACAAAGGATTTTCCTATAAAGATTGGGCTACATCAGGGATCATCTCTGAGTCCTTATTTGTTCAACTTGATTTTAAATGTTTTGACGGAACATATTCAAGAGGAAATCCCGAAATGTATGCTCTTCGCGGATGATATAGTTCTTATAGCAGAGACAAGAGAAGAGGTTAATTGCAAACTTGAGTTATGGAGGAGGACATTGGAGTCGAAAGGTTTTCGTCTGAGTAGAAGTAAGACGGAATATTTATATTGTAAATTTGATAAAGGACTATTCGAAAATAATTTGGAAGTGAAATTGGGAGATCAAATTATACCTCAAGTGGAAAAGTTTAGATATTTGGGAGCCATTATCCAAAATGATGGCGAAATCAGTGGAGATATTTCACATAGAATTCAAGCTGGGTGGTTTAATTGGAGAAAAGCTAAAGGAGTTATTTGTGACCGTAAGGTGCCTAATAAACTTAAAGGAAAGTTTTATCGTACTGCTATCAGACCGGCAATGTTATATAGTAGTGAATGCTGGGCTCTAACGGGACAGCAAGAGCATAAAGTTAGAGTAGCAGAGATGAGAATGTTACGATGGATGTGCGGACATACACGTAAAGATAAAATTCGAAATGAGCACATACGTGAAAAAGTGAGGGTGGCACCTATTGAGGAAAAAATGGTAGAAAATCGGTTGAGATGGTTTGGGCATGTACAAAGAAGACTAAGGGAGGCACCAGTGAGAAGAGTGGAACATATAACTTTGAGTCCGATTAAGAGAGGTAGAGGAAGGCCTAAGAGAACACTCTTGGAAGTTGTTGAACGTGATCTCTTAATTAATAATATTTCTAAAAGCTTAATAAATGATAGAGCACAATGGCGTCTTACAATCCATGTAGCCGACCCCACCTAGTGGGATAAAGGCTTGTTGTTGTCGTTGTTGTTGTTGTATTCTCAGCAAATATTCATGGTTGTTATAATTCAAGGAAATGGCTTGTTACATGCATATGATATTAGTACATATGTATAGCTTAGTGGTCAATGCAATGTCCTCAAGATGCTTATTTGCTTGTTGTAAGAGTAATTGAAAGTATTAAGAATGGACAATTATATTTATATTAGGGAGAATGACAAGTAAGGACCCCAGAAGAAAGTTAATGTCAAATTAGGATTTCTTCAACACTAAAATTCCCAAATTCAGTACTCCTTCTCTCATGTTTCGATGCTGAAATTCCTAATTTGACATTAACTTTCTCACAAGGCCCTTACTTGTCATTCTCCCTAGAATATAAGCTATAACAGTACAATACACTGGAAAGGCTCTTACCGACCATTGAATTCATAGGCAGATCTTCAATCCCATCCGTCTCTCTGACGTAAGCTTGAAGGAGTCTGAGTCCAAAGTGATCAAATAGGAATGCCAATGCATTGAAAGTTCTAGTTTCTTCAATCGAGATCTCACTAGATAGATGGAGAAATTCTAGTAGTTGTTCATATTGTGATGACTCAGACTCATCCAGGGATTCATCAGTTCCTTCACTACCAGTTATAGAGGAAGAAGACCCTTTTGGAAATGAAATAATCCTCACAGTTCCTCCATACCTCCATTCCCCAACTCCACCAGCTAGCTTCCATTCATAATATCCTTTCAAACACAGAATGCAATCCACAACTTTACTCATTGAACCTCCCTGTAGTTCCAAGTTCATTACGTTTATAAACAGAAGGGGATCAGGGCTAAAGCCAAACCACACTAGCATAAATTAAAATTAGAACAAAATTTAACCTTTTCTAAATCCGATGCTTCAAACGTCAATAGCTTCATATCCTTGACTGCCTCCAGAAAATTTCTCATATTCTCGAAATACTGAATGGCAGACTGAGCCGCTCCTTCTGCAGATTGAACCGCAAGAGTAGCATTGTCCACCACCTGTTGCCAATTCATTACCCAGAATGCAAATGAAAAGGAAAAACATCATCAAAAGTGCACGAAAGTGTTTTTCATGTCTATTAACTTAGAACGCGGTAGAAGCCCGAAAAGAGAGGGGGCAGCACCTTGAGAACAGCCCCGGGGTTGACTTTGTTGAGGACGTTGCAGAGAATGAGGCCATTCCGTAATGCAAGGCAGAACTCTTCTTCAGAGGGCTCTTTGGAGAGAGATGCCGACGCAACATGGTCCATCTCGCGTAGCCATTCTGCTGCTTTATACCTCCTTGAAGCTTACCACATACAATCGCAATCATACTCAGTTTCAGACCACTTACATCAACAAGACAGCAACGAAGAAAAAGGTTTGCCCGTTTTATCAATATGATTATTTTGGGAAAAAAAGATTAGAGACAACTATTAATTATTGATTATTGATTATAAAATCGTAGTAAGTATTGAAAAAAGAATTTATCTCTTTAGAAATATCTGAGGAGAGTTGGAAGGGGGTTGCAAATTACCAGTAGGGATAATGATTTATTGTAGATTTATCATGAATCAAATAAAATCAAGCCAGTAATTAAGTTAACTAACTCTGTTTTGTTGGGGAAGAAAACAATTTCAACTTAATTTTCTATTTTAATCAATTCCAATTGGATCAATTGGTTTAGTCGTTTTTCTAATGTACATTTTTTTTTTTTGCTGGAATGCATGGCTACTGCTAAAATGTGAATCAAATCCAAGTTTAATTTCACATAGCTTTTTAGTTAAATTAAAATCTTTTTTAAAAATGGATAGAAGTAAGATCTAATAATATGAATGTGAATGCCTGACATCCTTAAAAGTGTGCACAATATTTTTTTTTTTCCCCATTTTGTAATGAATGGCTGCTACTTGAACTATGAATCAATTTGTTATAAATTCAAGTTTGATCCTAAATAAATTCTTGTCAAGTTTTTCTTGTCATCAATTCTTTTTAAGTTTAAATTTAAACTCTCTCTTATTTTTTATTTTTTTTTGGGGAAAACTAAGGTATACTGTCCAATTTAAAATGGGATATAATTTGATAGTCTATTCCAGTATTCTATCCCCGACACTTCAAAATTTCTTTTTGGCCAGTGCGAAGTTGGCCAAAAATAAGTAAGATTTTGGTACCACGTCCAGTTTTCTGTGGGACCTTAAAGTTCTTTTCCAACAAATGCTCAACATATTGGGAGTGTGATTGAAAGTTGGTTTGATTACGGGGTGGTAAGATGAGGGGCCTGGAAATGACTTGCGTTCATAATTTGCAAATTTACTGAAAAATATCCCAACTCCCTGTTTTCCCTATCATTAATCTTGAATGGTGGAATAAAAAATACTTCCTCCATCTCAAATTATAAAATATTTTTAAATAAAATTTTACATATTAATAAAGCTCATTAGATATATTTTAGAATCTTACTTTTTTAAAATAAAAATATAAATTTTTAAAAATACTCTTCATTTAATACTCAATTAATTAATAAAAGAATATTGAAGAGAATATATAAAAAAAGTAAAAAGTATCATTAATAAAACTTTATTTTTATTAAAAAATTATACTTTAAAATATTAATTTTTTTTAAAAAATATCTTATAATTTACGATAGAAAGAGTATTATTTTTATGTAAATAAATAATTACTAGAGAACATAAAAATTTATAATAACTTCACATACACATCCCAAGCCTCTCAAGTAATCAATTTAACAAGGGGGATCGCCAAATTGAGATGGGTTCGTTAACCTACTTTGCATCCCTCTACGGGCAACTCATTCTGCTGATCAAACTCGGGCCAAAAATGAATAAAAGAAGTCCTTACAAAGAAGTGTATTTAATTCTCTCTGTTGTCTATCTTTGGGACATAATCATAAAAGCACAACTTCTCAAAATTTTTCTCGAGAAGGCACTTATAACTTATCCCTTGTCATGTTTTCTTTTTTTTCCAAAAAAATGGGAATATTTATTCAAGCCAAGTAAGAAAATAATCCCTTGTCATGTTTTTAACAGACCATCTACCTCTCAAAAAAAAATTTCCTTCCTCCCAACTCCTCACCTGCCACACCTAAATTACTTCAATCTTTTTATGTGCCATATGCATATCAACCAAGCATAATATATAGAATACTTTAAAAAAAAAAGCATAATATATAGAAACTTCATGTAAACAAAGGCCACACCTAAATTACTTCAATCTTCTTATATGCAATACATATATATATATATACATATATATATATGTGTGTGTGTACATATATATATATGTGTGTGTGTACATATATATATATGTGTGTGTATATATATATATATCAACCAAGCATGATAAAAACTTCGTGTAAACAATGGCATCAAGTGCTTCGAATCATATTGTGTGCATGACTTTTCGCGTTCCAAACTAATTATTCTAATTGAGTTGAAATGATCATTTTTTCCACTTTGGAATTGAAAGTGGAAAAGATCATTACTGTCATGCTTTTCTTTTTAATCATTTTAACTCTAATCACAACAGGTTAAAAAGAAGGGATACAGTATTAAAGTTAAAGAAGATTAGCTATAATTAAAGATCCCAATGGTTAGAGTTAAGAATTCTTTCGGCGAAGATAATCAAATTTTTGGACCCATTCCTTAAAGCCGTTTTTGCCACCACATGCCCCGCTTCCTGCGCTTCATCATTACGTGCTTCACCATCTTTTCCATCCCTTCTTCAATTCTTTTTCTTTTCTCAATACCTCTTACCTGTTACTATATTTTTCTGTTTTCTATTTCTTTTTTTGTTTCCCTTGGGAGATTTATTCCCACATTGAACTGTTTGTTTCGTAAGTAACGCTAAATTACTACTTTTTTGTTTCTTTAATCTCTGCTTTTTGTTAAGTAAAGCAAGCTATCTGTCTTCTAATAACTGGGTTGACCCAAGAAGACAATGAAACCAAAAGGTAAGAAATAAACAAAATCACAAAATATATATATATATATATATCGGCCCTGTAACGCAACCACCGCCTAAAGTGCCACGGTACCATTTGATTTTCGCTTTTTAAAGTTTATTTAGAATATAGTCTTACAGTCATACCCCTTCTTTTTCTTAAAAAAACAAAAGAAGAAGAAGGGGAGAGAGAGAGAGAGAGAGAGATATCTCAAGTTTAAAAGAATTAAGAAAAAAGTACATAACCTCGCAAATATCGAAGCACCATGTAAGGTGTGAATTTAGTTGAAAATCAATTCCAGTTATTTTCAAGATTTTATATCCTACTATCCGACATGATACTAGCTTTTTTCCCCCAATGGATGACGCTAGTTAGATTGAATGTAAGATTAAATGTAAACCATGATATAATTTTGCTTATTAAAAAAAAAGAAAAGAAAAGCTTATCAAAAAATTATGATAAATGTTTTTGGCTATACCTGGAATTAAACTATTAAACCACTAAAGTAAAATCAAAACCACTATACCTAAAATTAAACCAGCACAGGTTCAGATATCCTCAAACAGATAAATTTTAATGTGAGAAGGGGCCAAAAAAACAACTAAAAATCAAACTGTTGCATTTAACACCTGTGCAATTTATTTTCAGATGAAGCAGTTGGTGATGGGTTGTTAGTGTAACTCTGCTTCAAGGCAATAAAAATATGTAAAAACAGGGTGTATCAGATCAGTACCAGTCTTATTAATATTACGTACCTGCTTCCTCTGCTTTCCTCTGAGCTAATTCCCGATCGTTGATGATCTCCTCAGTGACGACGAATGAAGCCTCGTTACTGATAGAGTTAGAGACTAATGCTTTCAATCCTCTCTTTGAAGGCGACGTGAAGAATGAGTTACCGTTGCTCTCTTGCGGCATCTTTTTTCTTCTTCAGCTTTCCCAGAAAACAAACATACAAATACGATTTCACTCTGCAACCAGAATTCCAAGCAAATTCTTCAAATTAACAGAAAGAGACTAAAAACGTGAAGAAATTCTGTGAATAATCCGGTGATTATGATCCGGATTTCATAATACAGACGAAACAGAGAGAAAACTTTGATCGAGTTTGTCTGATAGACAAGGGCACTACTTGATGTGGGAATGCTTAAATTCTGTAACCAGACATTGAAATTACGAGAAAAATAAGAATCTTTAAAAGAAAGAGGAAAATGATTAACATAAACTGGATGATTTTAACGAAACATTCAGGAGGTGAAATCCGAGAGGAAACAGCTTTCTGACTTTGATGATCTTAACGGAGACGAAAACCGTAAAGAAACACAGATTGTTGAAAGGAAAAGTAAGCTTAATTTACATGAACTATAATCTTTTAATGCAGCATTCAAGAACAAACACAGAGATCGAAGACTGTGCTCAGTGAGCTGGGAATCAGAGAAGGATTGGTTACCTGAATCTGAAGAACAAAGGAATTCAAAAAGCGTGATGGATCGGAGCTCAATCAGAAGCAAGGTTCTCGTGGAATGTGTGAATGATCAGCTTTCAAAAAAACTGTGTAGGCTTCTTTAATGCAAGAGAGTGAGGATGGCAGTGGGAGAGGAATATGAAATGAAAGGGCCTACGTTAGATTTCAAATGCTGGTTGTTAAGTCTTCTGGACCCGAAGAAAACGAAAGACGGAACCGTCACAAGGTACTCACGGCGCCATCACGGCCGTTTGCCACGTGGCGATGACATGTGGGTCTCTGGTGGGGCCCTGGTTCGTTGGGCTGAACGGCAGGATCCGGCCAGGATGATGGCGCCCTGCTCGTGCTTTTCAAACCCTTTGGACTTCGTTTCCAAAAATAATAATAATAATAATAATAATAACAATAATAATTAATAAAATATTCGGGCTACAGCATCCCATACTCTACGTATTTGTAGGTGTCTCACGTTTGCGTGACCGAGTCATGAGTCATGAGTCACACGGTCAACGGACACGTGCCATCACTAGTAGCAGTACAATACACATGCATGATAAGTACGTGTCAAGATGAGCAATGAATCCAACGTGTTTTATTTTATTAAGGACGATGTGTCAGGAAAAAAAACTGTTGAGAGGAGAGGAAAAATGGTGTGGCACCCAACAAAATGCATCCACGTGGACTTTTTATTTCCTTTTCTCCTTCTCATTTCTCCCCAACGAGATCGTTTGTAATCGAGTTTAGATAGCAAAACGACGTCGTTTGCAGACGCAAAAGACAGAAGACGACTTTGGGGGAAGAAGATGATCCGTAAGGCTATATTTATTCATGATAAGATATGGACAAGTTGCATTGCTTAGCATCCACTAGCTCAATTTTCAAGTTTAATATATTGTTTTAGGAGGATTTAGATGTCAAAACCTAAGTATATCTTTTTAAAAAAATTAAAGTATTATTTATTCCTATTTATTTCATATGATGCATGGAGAAAATATATTTATTAAAAAATTAGTCTTTATAATGATAATCAACTTTAGTCAAAGTCTTTCGAAATGACATGTTACTAATAGGGTAATAATATTTGGTAACGATAAAAATTTTGATTAAAATTTATCCACAATTCTGATGAATGAGTTCTTGATAAGAAAACCTATAAGACCTTAACCAAGATCCACAACAATTTTAGAAACTGAAAACTTTATTTTCCCTATATTATAATATAAAAAGCTTTAACAAGTTGTAATATTTACAATTACAAAAGAGAAGAGGAAGAGGAGGTTGGATGGGTCCCACAAGGGAAGAAAATGGAGGGAATTGGTAAAGGCATGAATGAAAGGGAGACGTTGGATATTTGAAAAGGAAGGGGAGGCAAAAGGACGTTGAATGGAATATTAATGGAGTAAGAGAACGTTGGATACCTAAATTTCAATCATTGTTGTTGTGGTGCTTTACTTTGATTTAATTTTCCATGCTTTCTTTTGTTTTACAATTTGCACCCACTTTTCCTGGAATTCCCTATTCCTCATTCTCCTCTTCCCATTCACTTTAATCATAAAATTTTTTTTATCTATACCCGCATTTTCAGCTAGTTTATTATGAGATCATTAAAAGAACTTGTAGTTTAAGTAACATTCTCTCACCCTTGAGAACAAGGGTTTTCATATCAATTCCTCTTTGAAATTACTAAGAAAACTAGAGTTTATTATGAAAGATTAGATAATTATCTTTGATCACATGTTTAAATAAGCAAATAAATATATTAATCTGCTCGTCCACTAGGCATCTTACAACAATTTAAATATTTTGATATTTAATCATCTATCATTAGGGTGTAGGAATATTATATATAACTTTTTACATGATTTAATTTTATCTTTTTGCATAATTTTTTTTGTGACCTTGTACTAAAAAAGAGGAGTGTGGTGTGATCAACTTCTTGTTCAAGTGGCATTCCCTAGCCCCTTGAAGTAAGAAGTTGTAAAATCAATCTTCCATATGATTAAAAGAACTTATGATTCAAGTGATATTCTCTCACTTCTAAAAATAAGGGGTTGTTGGATCAATTTTTTTAAAAATTATTAAGAAAATTATGAAGTTTATCTTAAATATTATACAATTACTTCCGACCACATGTTTAGATAAGCAAATATGTGCATTGATTTTCTTGCCCACTAGGCATCTTGTCTCACTCCTAAAAATAAGGGGTTGTTGGATCAATTTTTTAAAAAAATTATTAAGAAAATTATGAAGTTTATCTTAAATATTAGACAATTACTTTCGACTATATGTTTAAATAAGTAAATATGTGCATTAATTTGCTTGCCCACTAGGCTTCTTGCAGTAATTTAAATATTTTGATATTTAATCATCTGCCATCAAGATACATAAATCATATAACTTTTTATATGACTTGATTTTGTTTCCTTGCATGATTTTTGTGACCATATACTCCACGAAAGAAGGGGAAGCAAAAAGCGCGTCAGTGTCGTGTGGGGGGACCCCTTTCTAGTGGGGAATAGTTAAAAGGCATAGGTAAAAAAAGCTAGTTTATGAGATCACGAACATATTATGGCATCTCAAGATTTAGCTTTTATGTAAATAAGAAATTATATAATTAAGGACCCTAAAGTAATTTGTTACTTGTTAATATGATTGATTTTAAAATACTAATAGTATGTCTATACTTCTCATTTGTCAATTTTGTTTACCAATTATTTTCATTTATATCTAGTCAATATATGTTTGACTAAAAACAATACAGCAATAGTTTGTGTTATTTTCTTTCAATGTAATATAATAACTTTTTAAAGATGTAGACAATTTTTTAAAAACACTATAATTAGGATAATTAAGTAATAAACATGATATAACTAGGATTAGAAACATTTGAGGAAAAAAAAAGATTAGAAATATGGCTTAAAGGGTAATTTTATCCCTAAATTACAAATTCAAGAGCATATAAAATCCTAAACTCATTTTTGATAATATTTTTCTTCAACTTTTAAAAATTATGCAATGTCAATTTTATCATTAACTAAAATTAACTTTAACTAGGACTATTTAAGTCGTCCAAAAACCCGATTAACCTGGCTCTATTAGAGTCATTTAGGCACTTCAAGATAAGCACTTGGTAGGGGTTAAATCTTACCTTGCCTAATTCAGCCCGGCCCAAACATGTCATATTTTTTTGTTTTTTTAATAATTTTCATGAATAATATTTGTTTTATAGTATCATTTTTTGGTGAGAGTTACTATAAACTATATTATCTTCATCACCTTTTTAAACATTTCTTATTATTATAATTTTTTTTGGATCTCTTTCAAAATTCAAATTTTTTTATTTTAATATTATGTAAAAATAACTGACAATTGTTGACCATATGTAATTTAAAAAAAATTATTTTTTTGATTCTTGTGTTAATATTATAAAGAATATATTTTAAATGACAATAATTATATTTTTTTGAAAGAAATTTTTTATATGTTTTTCAAAGAAACATTGCAAAATTTTTTTTATCTAAATCGTGCCAAATCTACCCTGAACTACACAGTAGGCTAGTCGCCAGGTAGGGTTGAGGATTGATGCCCACCCAACCCTACCTATATACAACCCTAATTTTAACTATTACTTAACAAAAAAAATTACAAAAAAGGATATCACAAATTACTAACAAAGAAAAAAAAAACATGACATAAAATAATCAAGAAAATTTATTGACTTTTTTGTGTAATTTTTTAGGCTCTTTTTTATAATTTTTTGTTAATTAATGGTTAAAATTAATATTTATTAATTGCTGAAGTAAAATTACACTGTTTTCAAAAGTTAGAGGAGAACATTATATCTAAAACAAGTTTAGAATTTCAAATATCCTTCAACCTATAATTTATGGGTGAATTTGCCATTTAACCACATATAGAAATATCATTACTCACGATATGTTATCTGAAAGTTACTTGCCATTGAAATTTAACATGAAAGTATACAAAAATAGGGGGAAAACAAACCTGTGCTACAACAAACAAATATTAACTAATCATGTTAATATCTTCCTTGATTAAAAATGAGTCTCACATATCGGTGCAGATGCTTTTTTGGGTTGAGGGAGATGAAACTGTGCTCATAATATATATATATGTGTATGTGCGTGTGTGTGCGCGTGCTGTCTATCTGAGGACAAGAAACTTGGGGAGTTCAAAGGGAAGATATATAGAACAACGAATCTTGTAGAGTAAAATATGCATTGGACACTGTCTAACTTGAATATAATTATGAACATCCAAGACAATAATTAACCACCTGACTTTTAACACTGCAAGATATTAGAAATATTCTAATAACAAATGAGAAGTTACTTATGAGTAGAAGTATAGTATACCAATACATGTGCCGATTACATTGCAAATTTTGAGGGAGCCTCCTTGAGATTGTAAGAACCTATGGCAAAATCATATAGAAATCCCACATAAAAATTCTAAATCACCAAAAAGTTACACTAGATGCAAAAATAACTCCAAAGTCCTGTAAATTTTAATTGCAAATAAGTTTTGGTCCGTATTTATCAAGATGCCCTATTTAAAAAATTTAAAAAAAAATTCAATTTAGACATGGAATGCTCATTAGGGGCTCAGGCACATTTAAGCCCTTGATTTCATCCTCAATTGATTTTTACCATTCACTTTAAACTTATTTTTTTTAGTATTTTTAATAATGCATTATTAAAATAATTTTATAAAAAAATATAAAAATTTTAATATTAAATTTGAATTGTCTTCCGTCCTCAACAGGGGATGAGTACCATGTTACTCATCATTGCTGGTGAGATTTACCATTCAAATTTAAAAATTTTTAATTTTATTTTATATTTATCAAAATAAAAAAGCATAAAAATTATGTATTTTTTAATAAATTTTTTTATAATCAGTCTAGCCAGTGCACATTTAATCTGGACTATTTGGTTTGGACTTTGCTTACAACATTGACTTTTCAATGGATTTACTTTAGGATTATTGTGTCCAAAAAAAAATCTCATACTTTATTTGTTAAAAAATATAAAATATTTTTTTTATGAATTGGGTGTTGAAAAATATAAAATTTTTAGTGTTTTAAGGTGTAATTAATGTGTTTTTTCAAAAATGCCTTAACAAATAAATTACTTTATATTTATTTTTAAGTAAAATAACTTATTAAATAAGAATAAATACAACAAGATACTATTAATTTGAAAACCATTAACTAATTTGATTAGGGATGAGATTTAATTAAAAATAATTTATATTTTAAAATGGAGGGAGTAAATATATTTTTGCGTTATTTATTTTCTACAATATATTACTATCACAAATGGTTTAAAGTTTCACATTTTTATTAAAAATCAGATTAAAATTGTGGCATCTGGTACAATAAAAACTTGTGAACTAAATTAAACAAACAAGCGTCTAATTTAAGGAACCTTAGTGAAAGTTTACCGATGGAAAGATAAAAACTTTAATTGTTTTGGCCAACAAAGATAAAAACTTTAATGACATAACTTATTTTATTTGGGTTTTAATGGAGAAACGATGCATGATCAGCGGAGAAAAGTTGCGAGACTACGAAAGCACAACCAAGTCACAAAGTTCCAAGATGCCAAGTTGCCAACAAGAGAAAATAGAAATTGAAAAACTAATAATTGGGTAAAAAAAATTAATATTTTTATTAAGATTACAATGACAGAAAATTGTAATTAAGTCAGAAATATAAATCATATTAAGAATATTACCCCTGATTAATTCAGATAATTATAATAAAAATACAGATAGAGAGAGATCCAGTTCTAACAATTTTTGGATTAAAAAATAAACGTGAGCTTGTGGGACTGCATGTAGTTGATAATTGAATGTGGTCCAAATATTATAATTGTATTGGCATTTGTATTATTCACGCATGCTTCCCTTTTTTTTCTTTATTGCCTTTTCTTTTCCACCATCCATCTTTTTTGGCATGCCATCCGGTGTGATGATATGAAAATTGGATAAATCAGAGATTATACTATAGATATTTATTCTTTAAAAATAATTTTTAAAGAATAAAATATAATTCCATGAATTTTTTTCCTTATATTTTTTACTTCAAGTTAGAAAATATAGCTTGGTTAGCCAGTAAATTAAACTATTCTTTTTTCACACACACACAAACACACACACACATATAATATAGACTTCTTTTTTAATAAGCATTCGACCTTTAATTTCCTATATTGTAAGTGACTATTTCCTTCTATTAGATTCAAGGGTAAAAGGGCAAAACTATCTTGAAATTTTTTTTCTACGGATACCTGGCGCCCTAAATTTTTTTTAAGCATTTTTACTTTGAACTTTAAAAAAAAAAGCATTTTTGTCCCAATGTTAGAAATTATAAATGTTGACGATTAACTAAAGTTTGATCAAGAGTTAAATAGCATATTTACCCTGAAACTTTTTCTTTAGGAGCGTTAGGTACCTTGAACTTTTGTTTGGAGCTTGTTTACCCTGAAAGTTTAAAAAAGAGTGTGATTTTGTCCTACCGTCAGTATTGATTGTTACTTTGACTTTAATTGCTATATGTAGCCATGCATCATTTAAAAAAAAAAAAAAAACACCTAGATAGCAAGAACACCTCTATTAATATCAATAATAACAGTAAGAACAACTCTATGAACAGCAAATAATTTCAAATCATCTAAACTTATACTTATACCTGAAAACAATCAAATATCCGTTGAGTCAATCTATATGAACTCAGCCATTGGAAGTTCTCTTCTTCTATATTCAACAATTTCATTATCTCACTCAACTATGATAACTCCATGGACTCTGACTTTAACTAGAACTTTTTTAAGGATTCATAGCATCAAAATTGATTATGGTGGTAGTAGCGAAAGTAGCCGCTTGGATGTTGTGCGGGGAGCAAATGGTAACTGTCGAGGGAGAACAAAGGCAATCTAAGAGAAGTTAAGAATAGTGAATTTGCGTTTGATAAACAAAGTGACGACATCGTGGGCTTAAGTGACCATTTTTAGGGGTGAAAGTGTCAAGCCAGATGCGAGACTTCTTGTGAAGCTCACAAATCTCATATACTTATTTTTCCCAACTTCACATTTAGACTCCAATCTATGGTAATGTGAGAGCTTGCTAGTGGAAAAGGAGCAAAAGGAAGAAGAGTAGGAGGATGATGAAGAAAAAGGCAGGGCAAAATTATTCTCTTTTTGAAACTTTCAAGATAAACAAGTTTCAAACAAAAGTTCAGGTTACACAGTGCTCTTAAAGAAAAAGTTTCAAGAAAAATATGCTATTTAACGCTTAGTCAAATTTTAGTTAATTGTTAACGTTCATAATTTTTAACGGTAGGGCAAAAATGTTGTCTTTTTAAAAAATTTGAGGCAAAAATGCTCAAAAAAAAAAAAGTTTAAGGTGTCAGTTGCCTCTAAAAAAAAATGTTAGGACAGTTTTGCCATTTAACCAAAGATTCAATCACTAAGATGCTTTTTTAGTAATGAATAAATTGTCCTTTGTTAAAAAAAAAGATGCTTTTAATAACCAATATATCAAATACAAAATATAAAAATAGAGTCCAACGCTAACCAAGACCAAAATATAATGTTTCATCAATGAAGATGGAGGACGCTTTTTATATATGTACATGTTAATTAAAATAAAAATCTATTGTCTTAAAAAAAAAACTCTATGTGCTCTAATTTAAGTTTATCAATTTTTCTATCAAACAAGTAGTGTTAATTTTGTTGAAATTTTGGATATTAAGTGAGTAAAGTCTTACACTAAAATAAAAGTTCCACAATCAATTGAGTTGTGTGTGTGTTACATTTTTCTCTCTTTGAAATTAAAAATAGCATATATTTTAGAGAGAAATTGAGAGCATTCATATTACTATTGAGATTGCTCATTTATTTTATAAAAAATGTATAAAAATATAAATTCAAACTCTCACTATTATGAATTGATGGATGAATGGCCATACCTTACTATGAGTTAACTTTGCTTTAATCCCATTTTATTAAATATTTTTCTTGAAAATAACATTACAAGTATAAAAAAAAAATTCGGACTGTTGACCAGACAGCCTACTTTTTTGGGCCCATAAACATCATCTGGGCTTGCAGATTAATTGGGCCAGCCCATCTGCGTTTGAATTTAATTAAGTTTAAATGTTTACTATGTTATTCATGGTCTGGTATATTATGAAGATCAAACAAAGGCCTTTTTGTTTATCTATTGAGAAGTTTGAGGCCCCGTTTGGTATGATTGAATAGTTTTTGATGGAATTGGAATTGGAATCGGAATCAGAATTGGAATAGAATTGAATTATAAAAGTATGTTTGGTATGTCAGAAAAATTAGATGGAATCCTTACATTACTTTTGTTTGGTATGCAAGACATGGAAATGGAATTATACTTAAAAGACAAAAATACCCCTATATAAAAATTAAAATAAAACATAATAAAAACTTAATTGTGTACCAATTTTCTTATGTATTTTATATATTAATGAAATATTATATAAATCATAGATTATATCGATAACTATTATTCACTAGCTTGGGCCAAACAAAAAGTTTTATCATCAGAGGGAACATTTTCTTGAAAATAAAATTGACAATGGTTCCCATCCCTTCTACTTTAAAATAAATACACTAACACATAGATTTAGAAGAAAAATGTCAAACAAATCAATTCTACTTCTTATACCAACATATTATATCTAGTAAAATATTTTACAAAAAATATTATAAATATATAAATTATATACAAATATTATATATAATACTATCTTATATCCATATTATAACGTTTTCATGTCACTAAGGATAAAGTTAACTATTTATCACATAAGTAGCATTTGTACAAAATGTCTGACTCAATTTTTTTGCCATATCTTCCAATGCACAATTTACCTACCATGGCAAAACCAAAAAATGAACTAAAGAAGTAGACTTGAGCACTTTACAATCAGACTTCCTATATATAAGGCAGCCACAACTATGTAATCAAAAAGGCTACCAACCATGACAGAGCCAAAAAAATATATCCATCATGGTTTACAATGTAGACTTAGCTACACTATAATACCCAAAAAGAAGCAGCATACATAACACATTTATGCATAAAGTATTTTGCGAACCACAGCTGCCTTAGCCTTATCTGGTAGGTTAGGAAATCCAACAAGAATTTTATCATCACCTATCATTTTAAGATATGCATCAGTGCGCTCATTGTCAGTAAGATCTTCAACCTTCAACAACTCATCATATAGAGCCTCTCTTCGTGCATCTAACATTGCTTCTCGAGCCAACTTGTCTAAACAAGCTCCTAATTGGGCAGAGGAATCCTTGATGTCTTGGGAAGTAGCTGCTAACATCTCTTTAAGTGCCTCAGTCAAAAACTCATCACGATCTTGACTAGTTCTTTTCCTTTTCTTAGACTTAGAAGTGCCAACATTTGTGTTTTCTGATGGATGGTCAGAGAATGTAATTGATGGATCCATCTCTAGTCCAATATCCACAGTATCTTCATCAACATTAGCAGCTATTGTATCAAACTCTGTATAAGCTTCAACCTCATGCACATCATTGCTTGAAAGTGACCCTTTTCCTACAGCTCTATCTTTTCCAAATATAGAGCATAGTGCATCAAAGAGAGGAAAGGGTTTGTTCTTGAAATGAGCAGCTTTTTTATGGCTCTACAAACATAAAATCACATAAAAATATCAATAGCTAGTAAGCTTACAAATTCAAATCTGCATCAATATTTATTATAAGTATAAAGCTGAAGTAAAAAATATTTTTCTAGTAAAGTTTTACCTTAACATACTCATCCCACACTTCCTTGTCTGCTGTAACACATTGTTTGTCAGGGTCCCAACCAAATCCAGATGTGTTTGAGCCATATAACATATCATATATGACCTGCCAACTAGTCTTCAAGGTCTTCAAACGAGATTGAATGTGAGGTACAGCTAGTATCCCACATCCAGGTGACTTCTCCTCTATCATTCTTTGCAACTTCTTTAAACCTCCAGCCTTAAACCCATTATCTGCAACCAAGGTCCCATCATCACGAAGCTAAAGCAAGGATTGCACAAGAAGAGAGTCTTCCTCAGGTGTCCAGACATGATGGGTTGACTTTGTGGAATCGCCACCTGTCATGATCTTACTTAAACAGCAAAAATTATCATTAGTTTTAACATACCATAACACAATCAATTGCTATGAAGATAAAATCTCATACATCACAATATTGCAAAGAAGGAAAACGTCACCTAATAAAACCATTTATAATGTTGTCATTACACAAAACATACATCCACAAATATTCAACTAGAATTCAAGTCACATCTAGATTTAGGTGTCTCTTCTAATGCTCACATACTACCCCTATGACTCATAAGTTCAACAAACATTTCATTTGCCAAGGTATCACGAAAGTTAGCCCATGCATTTGATGTCTCAATTGTTTGAATATAAGGTATCTCCATATCATTGGTAGTTGTCTCCAATGCCTCTATCTCAATATCCAGTGGATCATCTCCTTGTCGACGGATCAAATTATGAAGGAGACAACACGCTATGATGACTCGATTATGGACTTGAGCAGGGTAGAATGAAGGACTCCTAAGAATAGCCCATCGTAGTTTCAACATTCTAAAACATCGTTCAATAACATTACGCGCAGATGAATGCCTCATGTTGAAGCACTCACGTGGAGTTAAAGGCTGCCGTCTATCCCTCCACTCACTTAAGTGGTATCGCTGACCTCGAAATGGGGCAAGAAATCCTTCACAATTTGCATACCCCGCATCAACCAAGTAATATTGGCCTACAAGAATAAAAGAAATTAACTTTAAGCTCATTACTACATTGATCATTACTTAAAAATAAATTAACATTACCTTGAGGCACTTTCAAACCATTCCTACGACTAATAGCATCTCGCAAAACTCTACCATCAGCTGCTGAGCCTTCCCAACCCGTTAAGACATATATGAATTGTCCATCCGGAGAGCAAACTCCCAACACATTAGTAGTTATTTCCCCCTTTCGATTTCTATATCTCGCTTTGTCAGCCATAGGCACCTTCATTTTAATATGGGTTCCATCAAGAGCACCTAAACAATGCTGAAAATAACAAATAATTAATTAAAAGAATAGATAAATTATATCATTAATAAAAGTTATGAATTAAGATATGAGATTACCTTAAACCACCTCCATTTTTCGTCTATTGAATCCTCAGCAATTGGCTCAGGTTTCTTTAGGAGCTCTCGATTCAGTTTCATCATAGAAGTTAAGACCAAATTAAAATACCTACTAATAGTTTCACCAGACCTCCCAAAATAAAATCGTATAACTCTATTTTTTAAATGATGTGCAAGGATATGTAAGAACATTGCCACTTGCTCATCAACTAGCATGTTTTTGGTTGGTTTCAAACCTCCTATGACATCAAGCATAAGACATAGCTTGTCGAATGTGGCTCTATTCATTCTAAGCTGGTTATAACAAGTAATGTCACTGTTATACACCAAGTTTCGTAAGTGGACTCTATTAGCATAGAAGTCTACCGTATATGGCCTTCGACTAATGCGATTCCTACGCAAGGCTATAGTGGTACAAATGGCAAAGAAACATTGATACATAGAGTGAAGAACATGCATCCACCAAATCATCAAATGAACTATCACATCTCTCATTTCTGGATCCATAACTGTAGGTTATAAATTTTAAAATATCAGGATAAAAAATTCTAAAACATCCAATAAATATCACTTCAATAGACTAGAAACAGTATAAAATTCTATAGGCAACAAAAACAGTATAAAATTCTAGCATAAAGCCCATATTTAATAGACTAGAAAATCATGAAACTCTAGTAAACCATTTTAAATTAAACACACATTGTTGGTAAAGAAAAATGTTGAATACCACGAATAGGGTTATGTTAGCGTCAAACCTGGATGGACCAGAGTCAGTTTTCCTTATTACATGAGCAAAGAGGATTTTGAGTTCATACTAAGAGCCATGGAGTTTATAGCAGACTATGGCCAGAGATTCCTGCCCTTGTACAGCTTCAATCTGAGAAATGGAAGCTGGAGACCGAAAACAGAGGAACTTGGGAAGCATAGCAGACTATGGCCATTCAGTTTTTGGAAAAGGAAGGGATAACGAGAAGGAATGAGTCATACTTAGAAGCAGCAATGTATATGGCTAATCGACTCCCAAAGTTCCCAGCTCAAGAGTATCATACCAGGGCACATGGACCCCAGTGTCCTTTATTTCAGAGTTTAATATTCTTTTTGCCTATACTGCATGCATACTTTGTGAATCTACAGAAATTTGATGACACGATGAGACAAGGAATTAATGAATGCTCTTTCAGCCTTCATGCTGTCATTATGGTCTTACCCTCAATATTCCTTCGAGTTAAACCCATACTAGTGAATCATTAAAGCATTTACGTACTTCTGGACTTCATTGATCAAGTCTGTTTGATTTATATTATGTGTAGCCTAATAAGAATAAATAACTAGACAATTCACCCACTGGGAAGTAATTTCGTGGCATTTGATTTGTTTAATTCTAATTAACTATAACCATTGAGGATAACGTACCAATAGGAGCAAAACAGATGTACAGTGTAGAGCAGGTTATTTGGGAAGAGTATAGTTGCATCTATGGTCAAACTATTGACAAGTCTATTTGTTTTTTTATTTGTAACGGGAATATCTACAAAGGATGAAAGGATAAGACAACTCACACATGAGTTATAGGATGCAAGGCACAAGAGAAGAAACAAAATTCAAAAATTCAGCAAAAAAATAAGGGAAAGAAGGGATGAAAGGATAAGGATCCGTGACTAGAGCCCCCAAAAGAGGAGAAGAGAAAGGTCTGGGCAGACTTCAGAATGTACAGCTTGTGAAAAGCTTGCGAGATCTCCAAAATATACACACTTGAAACATCTATGTACAATAACGGGTTCCCTCAATAATGCAATCTACAACGTGTTTCTTTTTAGGGCAAATAATGCAGTCTAGTTAATGTTAAATATAATCAAGACGATGTCTCTGCATCAAACCGAAGCCTATGACAACCTGAAGTCCCACTAATATTTAAAATATTCTATTTATTTGTCACTATATGTATATCAGGGTGGAAAAACAACTTTCAAGTTTCAAACCTAGCTTCATAGCTTCGATTGATACCCAGAAAAGAACCTAGCTTAGACAGGGGAGGCGGCCGAAGGATATAAAATCACAGATGAAAAAGAATGGAGGAGGGAAGTCGATTGATACCCATACCTTGGTCGCGAAATCCAAAATATTTGTCCAGACCGCGTCGTTCGTCGTCCGGCTCGTCTTCGATCTCACCACAGCTCTCGCCTTCTCTCGGTCTGCAACAAATCTTGCTTTCTCTCGCTCTGCCGCGACCAAGCGTGAGTGTGAGTGAGGTGAGGGTTTTATTTTTTTTGAGGGCAAATTTGTCTTTTTGGAATTTGTATGAGGGCAAAAGTGTCTTAAATATTACAATTCCATAGAATTGCTCCCAATTCCATAGATTTACATAAGGAATCAAAATTAGCTTTTTTCCATAGAATTAGGATTCCCAGGAATTGTAATTCATATCTACCAAACATCACTTTATTCAGATTCCTATCCCAATTCCATTTCCATCTTCACAATTCCAACCTACCAAACATGGCCTAAGTTAAAAATAACACACATCCTTGGAGCTCCTATTTCGCGTTAGTCTTTCGGCTTATTTGGAGACGAAGGAATGAGATGATTTTTCATAATACAAATACTTTCAATGCTTCTATTAATGCACAGACAATTGCCATTATTAACATTTTCATGGGATATTGAAATAAGCTCAAATGTATTGTGTGGAGAGAATAGGATGAGCCTTTGCTTAGTGGAATTTGGAGTTTGCTAAGTGATGATTGGTTCAAGCATAATGTGGACCATGCTTTCTTTACATATATGAATAAGGTTGGCTGTGGTGGATTGGTGCGAAATGTGAAAGGGGAGTTCAAAGCAAGATTTATGCTTAAAAAGAATGATGAAAATTTGCTTTTTGCTATGCTTTGAGCTTGCTTGTAGGGTTTTAAAATGGTTAGGGACTTTGGCTTTAAAAAACTCATACTTGAATTTGATTCTTATGAAGCTATCAAGGCAATTAATAGCATTGATCATCTTAACCATTCGAATACTAATCTTGCTGGCGAAATTAAATCATTGTTAGCTCAGGATTAAGTAGTGCTCATTCAGCAAATTTCAAGGAACGGCAATGAAGCTAGTAGCCTTATTTTCAAATTAGCTTTTTCTTATGTTAATGGGTTCCATTTTGTCCTATCCCCTCCTCTTGAGTTAGTAGTTGTTTTGGTGTAGGACATTAACACTAGCATTTAGTTTCTTTCTTCTTGTGTATTCAAAAGAAAAAATATCAAGCATCCTTAGCTAAATTCCTCCCTCACCATCATTCGCATTGAGTTTTGACAAGAATGTGTTTGGATTCCACTTGTTCCCACATTCCCACCTATCAGAGTTTTAGTGCTCATTATCACAACTGGGCAATGATAGACTCAGAAATTTTGAAGCAAGTATCTTAAAAGACTTAAAAAAGAGATAGGAGAAAAGATTGTTTGATGAAAAAAAAATAAAGTAGCCACAAATAAAACAATGAATATAAAATGTGTAATATTTTTATGTGGGCCATAAAAATTATAAATATGAAAAATAAAAAAAAATTAGATTATATAAAAAGTAATATTATCAATTATTGGAGGTAATTAACAAGTGTGAGATGAGATATATAATACACGTACTACATATATCTATTAAAGAAAGGGACAATGATGTGCCCTCATCACTTTATTGCATGTAGGTTCGTTCCTGTAAGTGAGGACAACAAATCTAGACCATCAAGATCTAAATTAAATGGTTAATATTTAATATCATTTTATTTTTATATTTTTAATAATTAAATATGTAAATAGATGAACAATCTAAAATATATATAACCCTTTAACTGTTACACTTAAAAGAAGTGGTGGAGCTAGAACCCTATGTTAGCGGGTGCAAGTTAATTTCAAAAATAATTATGTAGTTTTTTTTAAAAAATAATTATATATTTTATAAATGTCCCTTGTTTATTGTCAAATGCTATTAAAAATATTTCCTCCGATATAAGTAGCTAATGTATGATGTTATTTAAATATAAAAAACTATAAATATATATTCATTAAGCAGAAACTTAAAAAAATAAAATAAGTTACTATATTCTTTTCTAAAAATCATATTAGAGTTTTGGATTTAGTGAATTTAAAACTGAACTTAAATTAAAATATTCACAAAAAAAGGTATAAATTTTAATGGGTGCAAAATTTTAGGAAAGAGAATAAAATAACAAATTCCATACTATTTATTTATAATTTTTTTAAAATTGAGGGGGTGTATGTGCCCCTCTCAAATATATACTGCTTAAAAGATTGTGCCAAAGTCATCAACTTTCTTTTAAGGAATCTTATTCTCTAACATCCTTATCTTTTAATGGGTGATTAATTACTTTCTTCTTCTTTTTTTTAACCAACTCGATTATTACCTTGTTTTGAGGTTAGTGCTTTTACAAGTAGAAATTTTTCTAGGAAATTAATAATTGACTGGTCAACGAGTCAAACATGCATGCATGTATATGGCCCGCCTCGCTTTGCTCAATCTGATCCTTAACCTTGTCCTCATTAGATACATTGCACCCCTTCATTTTTTTCTGGAGATATTGATGATCATATTAGAAGAAGCTCTCGCCACTTCATTAAAAAAGGTTACCTCAAGTCAACGATATTTGGCCCAAAAAAAAAAAGTCAATGATAAATGGAAAGGGCCAACTTGCAAGCAAACAAGGAATAGGGGCCAAAATCCATTTCAATTTTTTATAAGTAAAAATCACAATTCTTAATAAAAAAAAGGAGTTGAAATGCTTTTGTGTTTTTAAACTAGAAAGTAAAACGTGAATATGAAAAACTAATAGAAGAAGATATTAAAGCTGATAATCATGTCAAAAATAGTATTTTAAAGGCATAAAATAGAATTGTTTATATAATTATTTAGAAGGCAAATTAAAATATAGATGATAACTTGTTAAATTTTTTTTAAGTTATGCCATTCAAATGTCAAAATAAAATATATTTTAATTTTATTTCAAAATATATTTCCATAAAATTTCCTTTTTATATTATTTTTTTAAATAAAGATTAGGGTGGCACTAAAGGAAGATTGCATCATCTAGCACCTGAACTTGTTTAAACTAATCCAAACATTTGTCATATGAAATTTTTATCATCAACGAATGATTTCAGGAGTACTTTTTTAAAAATACCTTTAACATTTTTTTAAAAATAACTACATATTTCAAAACTTGAATTCAAAATTTCATACTAAACTAACTTAACTTCCTCAATTAGTTGAAACAAACGATCCTTAGGCATCTAAATTTGTCACTATTTTAATTAAGCGCGAGTAGAATCATCCCTTTTTGAGATAAAGGCTTTGGTTTCATTAAAAAAAAAAAAAAAGTCTGCCTACTTTCTTTTAGCAATCCAATGCAAGCTCTATGTTGCATAGATTTTTCTTTTTAAAATTATTATTCATAAGCTATAAATGAAACTATTCATTATAATTTTTTTATTATGTATAAAAATGTATATATA